TTTTTTTTTTTTTTTTTTCTTCTTCCTCTCTTTCTCCACACGTCTTCTTCTCCAACGTCTTCGTCTCCATCTCTCTCTGTCTCTCTCTCTTCTTCTTCAGATCTGACCAAATCTAGAGCACCGAAGCACGTCTTGTCTCCTCTCTCTCTCTGTGTCTGCAACGAAGGTGCTTCCCCGTTCTGTTATCTACTGTGAGTCTGTGACTCCCATACGCCCAACTCCCAAATCCCTAACCCTAATCGCAGTCTCCACTAGTGAATCGCCACCGCCGCTGGAGTACCACCACCAGTGAACCCCTCCATTGCTCTGAAAACCCAAAACCCAGTGAAGCCCCATCCCCAAATCCAACAAAGCCCCTATCCTCAATTCGTTGAATCAACACATGGGTCCACCAACGAAGGCACCAGTTATCCAACGGAGCTCCAACAGCTGCTAGAACACAAATCTGTGCACAGATTTAACTCGGTCTTGGTGGTGGGTGTTGGGTGGTTCTCAACGGGGGTTGATGGTAGTTGTGGGTGTTGGGTTGATGGTGGTTGTTGAGTTGGTGGTGGTAGTTGTGGGTGTTGGGTTGACTGTAGTGGTCGATTGTGGGTGGTGGGTGATACACAGCGAAAGAGAGAGAGAGAGACAAAGAGTTGAATAGACGTGGAATTGTGGATTATTATTTAAAAAAATTTTATAATTTTTGTTCTTTAAAATTATTGTCAAAAATATATAATCAAACAAGTTTTGTAATCTAAAAATTTTAAAATATTTTTTTTAAATTATTCTCAAAAATAATTTTTAAATATTATTTTTTAATATGCAAATTAAACAAGTCCTTAGGTTTTTTTTTTTTTTTTTCCAGAGGAAAAGAAGTCTGTCTGGTTCGTTTGGACCCAAGATATTAAGCGACTTTTTAATCAATTTTTTTTGGCAAAGATAACTTTTTTTTACACCAAGGAAAAACTAAAAACTAAGACTTATTCAAGGACTTCCAATGAAAAGTCAGGACATGTTTGGTTTGTGATCCGAAAATAATTTTTTGTTCTCAAAATTTTAAAAATACTCAAAACTTGTTTGTTTAGCATTTTTGTTCTCTAAATTTTTGAAAAAAAAAATGAGATTTGAATCAAAAAAATAGAAAATAAGTGTAACTTGTTTTAAGAGTTTTCTTTGAAAATTTTGGAAATAAGGAGAACAATTTTGGATGTTCAGATATGAGAATATATATATATATATATATAATGAAATTGTCAATATAAAAATACTTTTTTTATATTTTTTTATTAATATTTGAATTATTGTTCAAATATATATTTAGGCTTAAGTTTTACTATTTTCTGTATTGTAAAATTATTTTTAAAAATCATCTAATCAACAAGTTTTTTATCTCAAAAAATATCAAAACCACATAAAACTTTTTTCAAAAATTATTTTCAGATACTATTTTTTGAAATGCAAACCAAACAAGCCCTCAGTTTTTTTGAACACACTTTAAACGGTTCCAAGAACTTTGTTAACTATAACTTTTTCATTCACTTTTTAAACTTCTGTTTCGCACCCAAAAAAATCAACTCTAAATAGTCCCATTATTAAAAGACAAGGTCTAGCGTTTTCTCACATTACTCGATGCAAGACTGGCTGCACAACATCCTAAATCCCACACTGACCTTTCGGGCCTTGCAGTTCACATCACACCCAACTCCCTCAAGTTGCTGCAACACTAATATCCACCATCTGGAATTGGAGAAACAAGGTGTCCTACTCAAATGCCAAACCAGACAACAGATGCTGAAAACTAGTACCTCCCAGTGCACTCCACAAAACTCATGGACCAAACCTCATGAAGGAACAATTAAGTTTAATATGGATGCAGTTATCAGGCAAGAAGGATCATGCCTTCCAGCAATAGTTAGAGATGCAGAGTAATGTGTTAGAGGCATATACACAACTAGACCAAGAAGTTGAACCTCTATTTGTAGAAGCTTTGGTAGCTAGAAAAGTATCAGAGGATCTGTTGGGAGTTTGTCTTGATACGAAATATTACAATATTTTCCTATATTGTATTGAATCAATAAAAAAAGAGGCCAATGTTATGACCCCTATTGTTTGATCCAATATTGACTTGGGGTGAGCCTCGACTTCCATAGATCCATGCTACTCAGCCATTTATAATTGAATGTTACTCTTCTTCAAATCTTCAAAAAAGAAAAATAAACACAAATAGTCCCAAGGAACTGGAGTTATATCACTTCCTCACTTCAAAATCTAATAGCTTATCATAACAATCATAAAGGACATCAAGTACCCATTGAGTCCACAACTAGAATGGAGTATGATCCATGCATAGAGGATGCTAATAAAGCCTCTCGTTCACTAGCAAAAGAGTCCTAGTCTGACGTCTTGAGTTCAAATTTTAACAAACTTTTACAGTTTACAGTTAGGCCATGAAAAATTTATTCTTCACGAATACCTTATTCCCAACGTTAATAAGGTCCGAAAATTCAAGTGATAACAACATTGCTCTATCTTTTTTGCTTAATAATTTGGTTGGTATGAACATGATTATACATTATTGATACACAATACAACCCAATAAAACATGAATATGATTATATATGTCTATAAATGATCTATATACAAGGTGAGCCTATTTTGTAATGACATCACCTAGAGACTGACAAGGCTCATTGTCAATCTTACAGCAGACTGGTATGAAGGAATTAATCTACTATGAGTACAATACACCGAAACGAAAATTTTGATCATTGGGAGTCACACAACTTGTAATTACAAGAGCAACACAAAAGAGGAAGATATTAGCTTCATCTGCGTAGCTTTCAATTCTTTTTCAATCAACTTGATTCTTATTGACATTGATTTGTAAATGGCAGAAAATAATCAATCAATCAGCGATAAGATACTACTCGTGCTTCGACGAATCCAAACAGCCGTCTTTGATGGTATGGACTCAAGTAGAGAAAAGCTATATAGCCTAACAATGCCAAAACATATGATTGCCCAAAACCCCACCAAAATTCAGCTTGCAAAAAGTCAGAGTGTACTGATCTTGAAGGTGGTGGTGCTGATGGCGATATTCTGCTGGTGGTGCAACTTCTCTGCAGTGGCAGTCCACAAAGAATAGGGTTGCCCTCATAGCTGCTTTCTTCAAATGTAGCAAACTGTGCTTTCATGTCTGGTGTCCTACCTGATAAATTGTTGCAAGCCACAGTGAAGACTGATAAAAAGTTCAACTCTACCAACTGTGAGGGAATTTGGCCACTCAATCTGTTGTGGGATAGGTCCAGGCTCTGTACTTGTTTCAGAAGTGAAAATGTTTCCGGAATTGATCCATTTAAACAGTTGTGTGACAGGTTCAGAGTATGAATGCCACTCAGGTGTCCAATTTCAGGTGGAATTGGACCAGTCAATTTATTCCAGGAGAGATCGATCCCCGACATGAAGTACAAAATGTTTCCTCTGTATGATTCAGCCCTGCTCTTTGTTATAAACTCCACTTCTTCTACCTCATCTGATGTGGAATAGCCATCAACAATATATTGGCCCACCTCGAGCTGACTTCGATATGAATACCTTGTGTAGGATTCATATGATACCCTCCCGTATTGACCAGTACGAAATGTGTCATCAAAATTTATTTTCATCCCAAATGGTATGCTAGGCAAGCAGTAGGGTATTGACCCAGAAAGATTGTTGTGAGAAAGATCTACTATGCTGAGAATAATAAGCTGACATAGTTCAAAAGGTATAGAACCTTCAAGATCATTTCCTTTCAAAAGAAGAACTCTCAAATTTGAGAGTAAGCTGATCCAACTTGGAATTCTTCCTGAAAATTTGTTATCCCTCAAATCTAATGTCACCAGGGAGGAAGCCGTAGATAGAACATTTGGTAAGGGTCCAGTTAATGTGTTGCCTTGCAAATGTAGATATCTCAGAGATGACAGATTTACACAGGAAGGCATGCTATGAATGAAGTTGTTCGAAGAAAGATCCAAGAAGCGTAGTCGTTTAAGTTTGCAGAAGCTCATTGGTATAGAGCCCTCCAATGAATTTTTGGACAGAATAATAGAAGATAAAAACTTAAAGTTTCCAATCCAATCAGGAATTTTGCCTGAGAGTAAGTTACTGCTTGAATCCAACAATTGCAGGTAGGAGCTGTTCAGAAGTCCACCCGAGATTTCTCCTGAGAAGTGATTGTTGCCCAAAAATAGATAAAATAGTCTTGTGAGATTAGATCTTTTTGGAAGTAATTGGCCATGCAAATTATTGTTGGATAGCTTCAAAATTCTCAATGAGACACAGCCCATGACCAAATGCTCTGGTAGTTGCCCGGACAAATTATTATTCGACAAGTCCAACAAATCTAACCTTCCCATATCTCCGAAGGAGGGGGGAATCCTACCTTGCAAAGCATTGTTAGACATGTTCAAAAGGAGCAGATTTGGGAGGGAAGAACCTATAAAAGATGGAAGCTCGCCCTGGATATGATTCATAGAGACATCAATCCAAAACATTTCAAGATTTTTTGAGTTAGAATCCAACATGAGAGTACCCGTCAAGATGTTATTTGCAAGACTAAGGAATTTTAGTCTTGTATTATTAATGAGTAACCAGATTGGAAGCTTCCCTATAATGCTATTGTGGCTAAGGTTCACTGCTGTCAAGTCATATTGATGTAAAAGAAAGCTGGGTAAAGCCCCAGTTGGCTCGTTGAGTTTACAGTTGGATAATCAAAAGATTTTCAGCTGAAATAGAGGTTTCCAAGCTGGATTTTCTGTCTCTACCTTCAAATTGTTGTTATGGCTGTCGAGTTCAAAGACCTCAAGTTTGGAATGGTTAGCAAATGAACTGAATGAGAGTGAACCTTCAAAATGGTTGTAAGAAAGGGAAACGTATTCAAGTGACTTGAGACTGGGAAAGAGAGTGGGAGGAATGGTTCCTCCGAAGCTATTCTCAGAAAGTTTAAGAAGTCGAAGAGAGGTCAAATTGCTGAGACATGACGGAAGATTCCCTTCGAAATTGTTTATGCTCAGATCCAACTCTTGCAGACACCTCAATTTGCAAAAGCCTGCAAGAGTGAATATTGAAAGTCAGGAACAATAACAGCAAAGCAATTAGCAATACAATTCGGAATTATGAACTAATGCTTCACTAAAAACCTCACTAAGAACCCATATCTTTGCTTATGCACCATTGAGTGACCATGATGATGGCCAAATGAGTTTTTTTTTTTCCTAAAAACCTATGGGAAAAAAATGTATGAAGCAACATGAGGTGGGGATAACTTTGATCAGGTATATCAAAGAGTCTAGTCTGAGGAAAGATCCCAGTGAAATGATAATAATACCCATGCACCAGACCATTCATGGAAAGGGGAAAAGAAAAAGAAGCAAATGTGACATTTTAACTGCTAGTACAAAAAATGATAGGGAGATACATATTCTTGATTTTGCGAGATTGGGATGCAAGGAAGGGGGTAGATATATACATGAAAATTTAAACTGACCAACAACTGTTTTTTTACTAACTTTCCCTTACCAACTCCTACAGTCCTTTGGATTAGTAGGTCGTATTGGGTCCCACTGACATCTAATGGTTATGATTCCGCTATCTTAGTTGGTAAGAGAGACTTGAGAAGAAAAGTTGGCCAAAGTAGTCAAATGTATAAATTCCTCTTTTGTATGAATGTTTTCTATCGTGGAACTTCTAAAGAGTGGGCGTCAAGGCCCAAATTCCATAACCATCACTTACTATTAATAATGCACAAATATGAAATGAGAACTAAAATTTGGCAAATATAATCAAGAGAACTTTATTGAAGGACTTGGATGTACTACAAGAATTCTTCAAAAACCAAATTAATTGATTTTTAAATTTAAGCTGTTCTTTTTTCCACTTTCAAAATTACATTTTTAACATGGTAATATATTCTAAAATGGGAATCCGCAGCGAGTCTATTTTACATACCTTCTACAGGTAAGGAGCCATTTAGTTTATTGCTGGTGAGTGATAAGGCCTTGAGAGAGGTCAGAGCACCAATGGAGGGAGGAATCTCACCAGCCATATCATTATAACCAAGGTGCAAGCTCTCCAAATTCCTCAAAGTAGTTATCTCTGATTTTACACAGGACAATGAGTACAGTATTGGCACAAACCTAAAACACAAGTAGATGGCAGAAAATGCTTTCATGGAGTTGAGATGTACCTTGAAAATGAGATGAATTTTTCATATGTTGATTTGAATGAAGATAAAGAAACTTTAAGGACCGCAGTGCACCCAAGGATGGGACTTCTGTAAATCTGTTCCAGCTCAAATCCAGAACTTGTAGCTTGCTTAATCTAAGTACACCTTGGAAATCTGTGTGACAATGGTAAATATCCTATATAATCACATAAAAAGATAATGTATGCTTTTTCCTGCATAATTTTTTTTATAACCGATAATCATCTCAACCACCTGTCCAGTAAATTCATGACTACAAGGTAAACTCGGGATGTATGTAATAATCTGCAAACCATACACACGACGTCAACCAAACTATCTATTATGGGACTCGAATTTAGTACCTCAAGATAGGAATCACTGAGGCCATTCCATTCGAGCTACTCTAACAGGTTTCCCACCATAATTTATTAACAAAGAAATAAATGAAATCAGACCATTTATGCATTGGTTTCTCCATGTTTGATTACTGTTCCAAACCAATACACAAATACTCCAGCAGCCCATACCCACTTTGTCTCTGGGCAAACCTTTGCCCTTTGAGCTTCCATTCCTCTGCAGCCTTACCTCTTTCAGCTAGAGTTCACCCAACAAGCCTTCTTTCTTAGAACTTTGTGCAAAACAGAGGACAATAATCTGACTTTTGTCGACATCTATAATTTTCTTTGGGTAATGAAAATGATTTTAATCATGCGTTTTTTAGACTTAATGATATGACTACACCTATGAGACAACAATCCTCACAAACTACGCACATTGATTAAACATGGATTTTATCTGATCATGGGAACTCTGGACTAATAGATATGTATCTTGTCCATTATTTTGAACAACCCATATGGGTTGACATCCAAATTTAGAAGACATAGATTACCAAAGAAAATCCCAGAGCATGGAATGTTATCACCATTCCATTCCACCACATTAAGGTGTTACTGGTGTGGTGTTAATGGGAGTTGTTGCAGAAATTACCTAGGAATCAAATTGGGATGGATATTGACACACACACTCAAGTGGAAAAATTTTTAAAAAATCACACAAGATAAAACAATTTACGTGGTTTGGCTAATAACCTACGTTCACGGCAACAAATATCAGATGTTTTTCACTATGGGATAAAAACAGGAGTACAAGACACTTGTTTTAAACTTTACAAGTACTCACTCCTCCAAAAGAGGATCATTCTGATATCTCACTAGTATCTCTCACATATCCAATAACACTCATATTGATACCGTAATATCACTTAAAAAAAAAAAACCTCTAATGCTTAAACACTTCAAGCTCTGATGCTTGAAACCACTCAAGTTTTCAATGCCTTTAGAGTAACTCCAACCCACTCTATTTCCTCTTTTTTAGCGATTTTAACTAGCCAAACACTAAAAAAACTCTCCAACCCACTTTCTATCTCACTCTCTATTTTCCATTTCACCCAAATGACTCTCCAAATGTGGAGAGCCATTCAGCATCTTAAAATTCTCTCTCTACCTCTTTGTCTCTCTATCTCTCTATATAAATGTTACAATCTTGTTTAAATTATTGAAAGTTAGTGAAAGTTAGGTAAAGTAGTTAGTTAAAATAGAAAGCATGGTTAAAATAAACTTGTAAAAGTGACTCTCCAAAATAAAAAATGTATTATTTAAATATATTTTGAGTAGTTAAAATGGAAAGTTGGGATAGAGTTGCTCTAAACACTACCTGAGGGTCTCATTTTATTGTGAACAAAAGGTGTGAGAACACAACACACCGGTGCACCTTGGCTTCTTGACTTTCTCTCGACAAGTCATCAAATGATGCAGGCATGCCTTTAGACTTTTGGTGCCAAGCCTTGAAAGCATATCATCTTCTGGCCACAAAAGTGCACAAGAGTAACATCTCAAGACTTGATGTGAGAAAACCTCTTGAACGTTGGATTTCCATGGTTAGTGGGTTTCTCTAAAAACTTTTATGTGCCTATCCCCTTTCGACAAAACTTTTAACTAAAATTGTTTCATGCCATTGTCTAATTCTCATCCTTAGCGCTTGCTCACAAAGGGAAGAGACAACACTTCAGAAATTTATGTGGCTCAAATAATCGGTGCATATCAAATTGCTGTAAAAATGTGGCAGAGAGAGAGAGAGACCTTTCAAGAGGTTTCCTGACAAGTCTAGACTCTGTAGTTCTTGGAATGGAAGAAACAGGGAGGCGTTGAGGATCCAACCTTCTGTGAAACCCAAACCCAGTGGTCTTGTACGATTGAGGGAGAGTTCTACCACTTGCTTTGTGATATTATCACAGCTGACCCTTACCCACCTGCAACAATCTCCATCTTCAACACCCCATGAAGAAAGAGCAGACCCATTTGCTTGAATAAAGGAATCTTTCAGTTTCAGAAGCCCAATCCTCTCTTCTTCCAAGCAAGCTGAACTTCCATGGCTCTGAAAGTGAAGCTGCAGAGAACCCAAGAGTATCAACAAATACAACAATAACGTATACTCCATGGCCAAAAGTGAAGGCTTAGATAGCAGCCTTAGTTTCTCATTTATAAGTTGTAACAGTCCTATCACGTTTATAATTTCATCCAATTTCAACAAGTGCCTCACCAATGGGCCCTATTTTTACTCTTTCCTTTTTTGGTTGGAACATTCCTAGGAGTAACACTGTTTGGATATAAAAATTTGATTTAATTTATTGATATAATGATATAACTTCAATAAAATCATTGAATCAACACAAAGTTTCAGTATTTGATAGGTTCTACAGTTAATTCAAATGTCATAGTAAATTAGGTCAATCAATAAAGAGTAATGCTATATAGACTTAAAAAGTAAACTTAAAAACTAGATTTGATAATCTCAACAACTGATTTCACTGTGGATCCCAACATTTATTGAGATCCACTACCTATTTAATGGTTGAAATTATCAAGTCTAATTTTTAAGTCCATGTAGCATTACTCATCAATAAATTAGGTTCCAATAGCATATTTTTTCCTCTTTAACGTTGACACGGATGAATGAATGGTCAAAACGAGCCAAACATCATGACGGTATAATAGATAAGTTTAATTTTATAAAATAATTAATTATTATTCGTGTATAAAGCCACAGAATAATAAAAAATTATCAATTATAAATATATTTATATTTACATTCAAAATCAAATCACAAGTATACAGGAGAGAGAAAGTAATTTAAACACCGATTATAATAAATAATGAGTAGTGGAAATGGTGACGGTGGTGTTAGTGGATTTTTGGGGACAATAATAATAGTCATATGTGACGAATGTGGTGATGGCAGGGGCGACGACGATGGAGGAAAATGTAGTGGAGGTGAATGACAGTGAATTGCGAAAATGGTGGACGATGACAGATAATGGTGACCAGTGAGTAATGATAGTTGTGGGTGGTGGCGGTAGGCAATGGTGGTAGTGAAATATTGATAGTAATGATAATAAATATAAAAATGAGATAATGATGGATACTTTTAAGTAAACTCTTTTATTTAGAGACTTTATTTTTCTTATTAAATTTAGAGAGTTAATATTAATTGTCGGATTAATTTTAAAGTAAAATTTAAAACGATCTCAATCAAAAAAAATAAAAGTCATTTTTGATATCTCTAATTTTTATACTTTATTATATAAATATTAATTATATAGATATTTGTTAGTTGGGTAAGGTTATCCTAAGTCTAAAAAAAAAAAAAATTGGCACCATGACAAAATTTATTAAGAATATTAAAAATCAATTTGATGCATTTGTACTCGTGTGTAATGACCCAAACCCAATCGTACACGACTTTTAGGTATATCACGCAACAACTCTCTCTACCCATGCGATTTGGGACTTGTTCATTGATCAAAGTTATCGGACACCTCACCAAGCTCATCACCTCTTCCCTTCAAAGTTGATCAAAGTTGTTCCTGGTCAAATACATGTCGCTGCTAGCCTCACTGTTAGAAATTTTGCAAACTGCAAGTTGACCAATGAGGAACTGGATTGTGGACGAAGGGAAGTTTTTTGTTTTTTCTTACCTGCCACATTTTTTAATTACATTTACAACGTGTTAGCTTTAAACTTACTTACTAAATTATATAGTTAAGAATTTTATAAACTACAAATAACATTTTTTTAAGGTTCATGTCTCTATCTAGTTGACCAATAGGGTTGAAGGGGAATTTGTTTGAACCCCTAACCACCCCATTTCCTAATTTCATCTACCCTCATAATTTTTCACTTTTTTTTTCCCTAAATTATGATTAAAAAATTTATAAACTATAAAAAGTATGTTTTTTAACGTTTACGTCTTCATCAAATTGACAAATTACAAAAATAGGGGCGACAATGGTTTTTTTTTTCAAAATTACCATGTTTCTTGATTTTATCAACTAATTTTGTCCTAGCGTTGGTTCAAATCTCCTGAGATCGATAGAGATCTCCCAAATTTGTAATGACATGGCCTAAAGACTGGCATGACTCATAGCAAATCCTACGCCCAACTAGTAGATGAAGGAATTAATCCATTGATTTGTACATACAAAATGGCAGAAAATAATCAACCAATCAGCGACAAGATACTACACATGCTTCGACGAATCCAAACAGCAGTCTTCGATGGTATGGACTGACGTAGAGAAAAGCTATAAAGCCTAACAATGCCAAAACATATGATTCCCCAAAAGCCCACCAAAATTCAGCTTCCAATAAGTGTACTGATCTTGAAGGTGGTGGCGCTGATGGCGATACTCTGCTGGTGGTGCAACTTCTCTGCAGTGGCAGTCCACAAGAATAGGGGTTGCCCTCATAGCTGATTTCTTCAAATGTTGCAAACTGTGCCTTCCTGTCTGGTGTCCTACCTGATAAGTTGTTGTAAGCTACAGTGAAGACTGATAAAAAGTTCAACTCTACCACCTGTGAGGGAATTTGGCCACTCAATCTGTTGTGGGATAGGTCCAGGCTTTGTTCTTGTTTCAGGAGTGAAAATATTTCCGGGATTGATCCGGTTAAACAGTTGAATGACAGGTTTAGAGTATGAATACCACTCGGGTATCCAATTTCAGGTGGAATTGGACCTGTCAATTTATTCCAGGACAGATCGATCCCCGACATGAAGTACAAAATGTTTCCTCTGTATGATTCAGCCCTGCTCTTTGTTATAAACTCCACTTCTTCTACCTCATCTGATGTGATATAGTCATCAACTATATTTCGGCCAACCCCGAGCTGACTTCGATATGAATACCTTGTGTTGGATCTATATGTCATCCTCCTGTATTGATGGGTACCAAATGCGTCATCAAAATTTATTTTCATCCCAAATGGTATACTAGGCAAGCAGTAGGGGTATTGATCCAGAAACATTGTTGTGAGAAAGACCTACTATGCTGAGTCTAATAAGCTGACATAGTTCAGAAGGTATAGAACCTTCAAGAGAAGAACTCTCAAATTTGAGAGTAAGCTGATCCAACAAGGAATTCTTCCTGAAAATTTGTTATCCCTCGAATCTAATGTCACAAGGGAGGAAGCTGTAGATAAAACGTTTGGTAAGGGTCCGGTTAATTCATTGCCATGCAAATGTAGATATCTCAATGATGATAGATTTACACAGGAAGGCATGCTATCAATAATGTTGTTTGAAGAAAGGTCTAAGAAGAGTAGTCGTTTAAGTTTGCAGAAGCTCAGTGGTATAGATCCTTCCAAAGAATTTTTGGACAGGACAATGGAAGATAAAAAACGGAAGTTTCCAATCCAATCAGGAATTTTGCCTGAGAGTAAGTTACTGCTTGAATCCAACAATTATAGGTAGGGGCTGTTCAGAAGTCCACCTGAGATCTCTCCTGAGAACTGATTGTTGTCCACAAATAGATAAAAGAGTCTTGTGAGATTAGATTTTTCTGGAAGTAATTGGCGTGCAAACTATTGTTGGATAGCTTCAAAATTCTCAATGGGACACATCCCATGACCAGATGCTCTGCTCTTTGTCATATTTTGTGGTGGAACTTCTAAGGAGTGGGCATTGAGGCCCGAATTCCATAACCATCGCTTACTATTGACAATGCACAAATATGAAATGTGAACTAAAATTTAGCAAATATAATCAAGAGAACTTTATTGAAGGACCTGGATGTACGACAAGAATTCTCCAAAAACCAAATAAATTGTTTTTAAAATTTAAGCTGCTTTTTTTTTTTCTACTTTAAAAATTACATTTTTAACATGGTAATATATTCTAAAATGGGAATCCGCAGTGAGTCTCTTTTACATACCTTCTACTGGTATGGAGCCATTTAGTTTATTACTGGTGAGTGAAAAGGCCTTGAGAAAGGTCAGAGCACCAACGGAGAGAGGAATCTCACCAGCCAAATCATGATGAATCCAAAATTAACTGGCCAGGCCCAATAAAATAATGGGTCCAAATCAATCGGGCCAGGCCTAAAGGGAGACCAAGACATCAACGCCCGAAAGAAACCCCAAGGGGCGCCGCCCAAGGGGGCCACCCCAAGGGGACCTGTGCTCTCTTTTGTTCCACGCTCCCTCTCCTCCGCACCGCCTCTATGGTATCCCTTCCCACTTTGTCACTCCAACTCAAGTCCAACTCAGCTCACTCCAACTCAAGTCCAACTCACCTCTGTATCCTCTTCCAACGGAATAGGAGTATGAGAGAGAGAATATTGGGAATCGCATTACGGAGATTTAATCCTACCACAATTGTACTTACTAAAAAATAGTGACCGCTTCACCGTCTCACTAAACCTATATAATATAAGCCCTCTCCACATGGAGAGTATGCCCTTAAGACCTCACACATCTCTTTACACACATTGCTCTCTCTCAAAGCATTGTAATACTCCCAGAGCATATTATCCCGGTAACTTTATTCATCAATAAAAAACTCCGGTTATCGCTGTCGTTCCCGAGAGTGAAGTAAGTCATCTGAACTGAATCACTATAAATCTGTTTATTTGCTATTACTCATTGTTTTGCCACTGATTGCCTGCTTATTGCTCATTAATTGAACCCTTCTATAATCTCGACTGTTAATTTTGCGCAATACCGATTTGTGCATCATCAATAACCAAGGTACAAGCTCTCCAAATTCCTCAAAGTAGTTATCTCTGATTTTACACAGGACAATGAGTACAGTGTTGGCACAAACCTAAAACACAAGTAGATGGCAGAAAATGCTTTCATGGAGTTGAGATGTACCATGAAACTGAGATGAATTTTTCATATGCTGATTTGAATGAAGATATAGAAACTTTAGGGACCGTAGTGCACCCAAGGATGGGATTTCTGTAAATCTGTCCCAGCTCAAATCCAGAACTTGTAGCTTGCTTAATCTAAGTACACCTTGTAAATCTGTGTGACAATGGTAAATATCTTATATAATCACATAAAAAGTTGATTTATGCTTTTTACTGCATAAATTCTTTTATAACTGAGAATCATCTCAATCACATGTCCATTAAATTCATGATTACAAGGTAAACTGTGGATGTATATAATAATCTGCAAACCATACACTCGATGTCAACTAAGCTATCTATTATGGGACTCGAATTTAGTACCTCAAGATAGGAATCACTGAGGCCATTCCATTCCAGCTACTCTTAACAGGTTTCCCACCATAATTTATTAACAAAGCAATAAATGAAATCAGACCAATTATGCATTGGTTTCTCCATGTTTGATTACTGTTCCAAACCAATACATCCAAATAGTATTACTAATACACAAAGTGCAAGAAAAAAGACATTTACCAGCGTTTATCGTTTAATAAACGCTGATAAATGTAAATAAACGCTGCAAAATATTATTATTGACGTTTGTTATTAATGTCGTCGAAACTTTAGTTGGAAAAATTACCGGCGTATAATTAAACACCACAAAAATTAAAGTGACGTTTCCTACACACTGAAGCGGCGTTTATTTAATCAACGGCTTCCTTTTAAAATTTTGGTGATCGGAGCTATTTTACAGCGTTTATTTAAACGCCAGTAATTATTATTTCTGGCAACTAGTTTCTGGCGGTTTAATGATAATTTTTTTTTTTAATAAATCAACACAAAAAAATCTGTCATACAGTTTGCTCAAAATTTTCAAAACAGTTTGCTCAAAAAATTCAAACAAAGAAAACAACAAAATTCAAAAAATTCCAAACCAAAATAAGCTTCAGCAGCATCCTCCAAAAACAAACTTTTTAGCAACATCCTCCAATCCATAAAAAAAATCTCTCTATTTAACCTCCCCCACTGGATAAAGCAACAGCACTCCTCTTTCGCTCTCAAAAAATCCAATAGAACTTTCCCAACAGCATCATCCTGAACCTTAGGCTTAAGAGGGAGAGTCACTTGGGCGGGAATTTCGCTCTCTTTTGTCGCTGAACCTGCATTTAATATAAATTAACACATGAATTCCACAAAAAACAATAAAAATGAAAAGCACTAGTGGAAAATTTTCTCACGTGAATCTAAGGTTAAGTCTAGTAGCCCTAAGCTTAAAAATGAAACAGAGCATGTTTTGAAAATTGCAATATTACAAAAGGTAATTGGTAGAATTATAGCCATTTCTATGGTGATCCATCACAACATGAAAAAAGAAAAGTACAATGATCCAGATCATTTAATATCTAAAAGTTTATCTCATTACTTACGTTTAACCACAATGTTGCTTGGGTAGGGAGTGTCATGTGGGCTGATAAGATCTTGGGGGTACTCCACCTATTATTGAGTTGTGAGGCCCTTCCAAGTGGTATCAAAAAGAGACTCACTGAGTCAACCCTATGTACATTTAAACTATATATAGAGATATACAAGATGCACAAATTTATGTATGTCCTCACAAAGAAGTCAGTGCAAATAGAGATCAGCATCATGAGTGCTGGAGTGATGAACATCACAAACCTTCATGGCCACTCAATGGTTTTGCAAAACATTAGTTACTTCAGAACCTTACACATATGGACTGTTAAATTTCATGTTTCCAGAACTAAAAGTAATGCCTATTTCTCCAGTTTTGACTACTGGAACCAATCAATTCCAAGGATTTAAAAACATTCAAAATAAGCAAAAAATTTTCACAAATTTCAGCAGGTAAAATAGCATATTTGTACAAAAAGAATGCTATAATTCTATGGTAGAATTATAGTCATTTATCATAAAACACTCAAAAAGGTACTTGAACAAACTCAATTAATGCATGAAAAGCCAATACTTGGGTATTTCATCCTTGGAGAACTAATTCTATGCTTAAAAGTAAGGGTGGTAAATTTTTCTATGCTTAAAAGTAATTCTCAGCTATCCTTATCAAACCATTTCCTTAAAAGTAATTCTCAGCTTTTTCTATGCTTCCTATATTTTTTTCATTTCTAGAACTTGCTTCATATAAGAGGATTTGCCATAAGATTTCTGGCACCAAAAATCCATCAAACTCATTCAAACAAAAGTAACTACTACAAGATCAATACTATTCCATTTATTAACTCACCTGACCAAATGAAGATGCTCTAGAATGACCTCGAAACTCTGTGTCTCACACTGTCGGACTTCTTGACTCACTCCTCATCGTTGATCGACGAGAGTTTATGTTATGAGTACTAAATGCATCAGGTACCTTTTATGATTGCAAATACTTAATATTCATGGAGAAAAATAATACAATAACTCTTCTAACTCAAAATATAAGTCGCTGAAGTTTTTATTATTTTTTTAACCTGAAGAGGATCTGTGTTTTTGCGAGTTGGTTTGGGAATAGGCATACCCATTGCACGCATTTGAATAAGAAAAACCTCAAACCATCTTTGTTGAGCCTCAAACTTAGCTTCCATCTGACTCATTTGCTTCTCCATTTGTGCCTGCTGAGCCTCCATCTCTGTCTTATGTCTACTCAATTACTCATCTAGTTGGGACTGCATTGCTTACATCACTTCTGATTTTTTATGTCCAAACACATCTCTCGGAGATGGTCCAAAATCATATGTTTTAACACGTCCAGGTTGCTCTGATCCCATGACTTGAGTGAAAACTTCATCTATTGCCGATGAAGATTGCATAGAAGACTCTGGCATTTGTGACACTGGTTCATCCATGTCTGACTACAACAAAAAATAATTTGAAATAAATATGAAACATAGGCGAAATAAGAATGGATAAATAGTGAACGTCTTTCTTGCCAATATTACATTCCAAGGCTTGTGCAACAACATCATTAACTGGTTGACCATCTTTTTTTGAATATGCAACCTTAAAAAATTCAATACGACTCATTTTCTTCCCATTATTCTTTTTCTTTCCAACAGTTAAAATAGACACAATAAATAAACTTGAATAAAAGTCTAATATAAAACACATTTGTTTTCTAACAAACTTTTTCCATAACACATGCAAAGCTTGTTTGGCTAGTGGTGTGATGAAATTTTTTCTTGCTCCGAATGTGTTTGTTCCTCTCACTTTTTTCCTATTACATGCCAAAAGCAATTATCATAAAAATTTGAAGAAAAAAAGAGAAATGACTTCTTTTAGAATTGACAAGATTTACACTTGCATATTTGTACTTGTGCCTTCGGAGTGCTCCAATAATAGACTAAGGCCAGCCAATGTGATTCCTCCACTCGGTCAGGCTTGTGAGCTAATCATTGTACATCAGTTCTATAGGGATAATAAGCTTGTTTCTTAATCTCACACTTCCAGACTTTCCACTTTCTCCCTATAGACTTCATTAGATATCATTTCATCCACTCTTTTGCATCAGTGCTTGCCTACAATTCCATTCAAAAACCTTTAACAACATGCAAAAGCTATATACAATCACTTAATAACTATAAAATAAATTCAAAAACTCTCCACCTTTATTTCATCCCATATTCTTTCTTTATACTCATTGGGAACAACACACCACTCGTGTCAATTTAAGGGTGTCAATTCAAAAACTTTCCACCTTTATTTCATCTCATATTATTTCTTTGTACTCCTTGGGAACAGCACGCCACTCGTGCCAATTTAAAGGTGCCATGGTCCCATTTCGAGCTAGCATGCCTAAACGAGATTGAAGTGGAGAGGCTTTTTCACCAATTGGTTGCCTTAATTCATTTTCCTCAATGTGTAGCACACTGCCGCCATGCGTCAAGGTAGGACCTCTAGTTCGCCTCTGTATAAAATCCGAGGATTTGGAACCTACACTTAAAAAAAATTGTTGAGTGATTACAATATCATGTTTAGTGATAATTATTACTATCTATTCCTCAATTACTAAAATATACCATCGTCGTTGCGTGATGTATTGCCATCATCGTCTAGTGATTGGCCACAAGATGGATGGTTGGTACTGAAACTTGAATTATAAATACTTAAATTACTAAACATATAATTGTATGCATAATATCAAATTGTGAGAAAAACATAATCTACAACCAAATAATGTACCTAGGAGGCTAGAAGTAGGGTGCCACCATGATGGTGGTTCTGGAATCATGTGCACATTCTCTAGCATAGCAAACTATGAACCATTTATGGATGTACAAGAGTTTGAAAGTGTGTCATCAACATATAAATACTAAGCAGTTTCATGATATTAAAAGAGAGCTCGACATTTTACATTGCAATGAAAAATCCAAAGCAATTAAATGTATAAAGTCTCATGATATTAAAAAAAAAACAATTCATATATCATTCATTATCATAACCATGAACTGTGGTTCCAACCACACCTTGTCTAACCCAGACCATGTCGTTGTCGTCATGATCGATAGTAGTTTCATCTAAATCTTATTGCCCATATTCTTCCACCTGGTTATGCTGCATCCTAGCATCTTTTCTTGGTTGTTGTCCATAGACTTCAAAAAAATCTCTAGGTTTCACCTTGATGACTGTTTTCCAATCTTCTTCAATGGGATCTTGTACATAGAAGACTTGTGCTTGAGATGCTAGGATGAATGGTTCTTCAGAGATCAATTCCTTGGTGTAAAGCAAATTTCTAAAATTGACTAGTGTAAAACCAAAGTCATCCCGCTCGACAAGACCCCTATTGTTATCGATCCAATCACACTTAAATAATACATACTTACAGTCGTGTGAATAATATAGTTCAACAATATCAGTCAACACTCCGTAATATGTAACATCTCCTTCCACGGGATGTACATCCCTTGAACTAACATAACTATGAGTACTTGCCTTTAGCATAACACCACTGTTTTGATTTTTTCGTCTCCGTTCATGTTTCTTTGTGTGATACCTTGTACCATTGATAATGTACCCTATGGACCTAGTGGCTTGCTTAGACGAACCCATAGCTAGTGTCATAATCTCATTAGAAAGTTGCATATTTCCTGCTGCTATCAACTTCTGAACCTATAGTAATGGAAATTTTGAAATATTAAACACTAACACATAACATGTCACTTAACTTGAAATTATATGTAAATTTCTCGACGTTGCACACATAGGATGCAAACCATATGTGAAATGTATCGTTGTGAATGCGATCGACTTCATGATCCCTCACACGGAAATTGAACATTCTAATAAAGGCACGATGTTCCCCGCGTAAAAAATTCTTGTTTGAATGCAATGACCATAAAGTTGTTTAACTATTCTAACACAATACCAATAAATGAAACCAAGTATTACTCTTGAAATGGGATAACTGCGGGAGTGTTAATGAGAACACAGTGATGGGCCTGCTGTCGTTCTATGTCACTGAGGGTCAACACTTTTCCACTTCCTAAGGAACGACCTCCTTGCCCATCAAATGTGATATTACCATCATAATTCCTCACTCATCAAAGTGACTTGGTCTTGACATCATGCAAATATCTTGAGCAAAATGTCATACATTCTTCCACCAAGTATCCTTGTTCAATGGATCCCTCTGGCCGACTCCTATTCCTCACATATGATTTAAGTGTGTAGAGGAACCTACAACTACAGACCAATGGTAAATGAAATGACATGAAATGGGAGAGAGAATTTACATTAAAGTTTTAGTTATATATGCATCATGGTTCAACTCTCTATTGGATACATCCAACGATATTGCACCGGGCCGGCAAATCTTAGCCTCCTCAGCTAAATGTGTTGGAGTATAGATAGTCTAGTTTATTAGGATTTCTTTTCCCTTTTTTACCCTTACTATGATTTTTATATTTTGTCTAAACTACAAGGATGTTTAAGTCACTCTGTATTATTTTTGGATATATATACGGGGCTCTACTCTTAATTTGAGTATCCCTTTTTTCACACACATTCATTCCAAGTTGGTATCAGAGCCATACCCTAACCCTAACCCTAACCTCATCATCAATCACCAAAGCACCGACAGCCACCAGCCCCTCCTCCACGTTGCAGCCCAGTGCCGATATCAATCCGCCACTACCCAACACCAAAGCACCGACAGCCACCAGCCCCTCCTCCACGTTGCAGCCCAGTGCCGATATCAGTCCGCCACTACCCAGCAACAAAACCCCAAACCAATACCCATCAAACCAATACCCATCAACACCGACTGCAACCCCAGCAGCCACCATCCACCGACTGCCCATTCTCGTACCAGACCATACCAGTCCTCCACTGACAGCCAAACTGACCAGCATAACACCCCTATCAGCAAAACTGAACAGCCCACTGCCTTGATCTCAGCAAAACCGAACACCCTACTGCCGACCAGAACTCAACAGCATTCTGCCTCCCATCAGCAAAACCGAGCGACCAACATAACACCCCTATCAGCAAAACCGAACAGCCCACTGCTAACCAGAACTCAAGGACCAACATTCAGCCTTCCCCATCAAACAGCAACACCAAAAAAAAAAAAAACCACCGACTGAAACCAAAACCAGAAACTCCACCGACTGAATACCAGCAAACCTGCTGCCCAGCGAAAACACAAGCCCCAAATTACAGTATCTAGGATTCCCTTTTTTTTATGAGGGGTTAAATCCTCTTTTTTGTCCGTTGATCTGCTCTTGATGCAGTAAGATCATTTATATTTATTGGATTTTTGGGCACCGTGACTTGATTATTTGGGAGTTTTCTGGACCTTCTTTTGTCGCTACTGTTCGACTGGAGGTATATTGTTCTCCCTTATTTTATTCCTCTATTTATCTTAGAGTTATTTTTCTGTCACGGGTGCCCGAGTATTGTTGTTGATATGACTACTACTGAGGGACTTGAGAACCCTACTGTTGACACCTCTACCGTTGAGACATCTATGGGTACTTCCACTTTTATGTTTGACCAGTATACAGTGCCTACTAGCACAGTTGCATTACCAGCATTACCGGGCATGATCTCTCAAAAAGTTACGGCACAATTGTTGAATGGTCGTAACTTCGCTGAGTGGTCACGCTCATTCCAGCTTTTCTTAGGCCGTGTAGGGAAGCTTGGTTGGCTGACGGGATCTCACCCAAAGCCAGCTGATGCCGACCCTGGATATTCTGCGTGGTTCTTTGAAAACTGTGCCATTCTTGGATGGTTATTTGGCTCAATGGAGCCCTCTGTTTGCAGGATCCACCAGTTTCATAGCTCTGTTCCGAAGCTATGGAGCGCATTATCAGAGATGTATTCTCAGTCAGGACGGGGAGTTCGTGTTTATGAGCTTTCTCAGGAGCTCTCATATGCTCGGCAGGGAGATATGACCGTTCAGGATTATTATGGCTATTTGACCCAGCGCTGGCTTGAGTATGAGACTCTACGTCCTCTTGCTGCTATTCCGAAGATAGAGCCCGAGGGAGCAGCATTCTTGCATACTCGAGAGCAGGAGGATAGGATTCACAAGTTCCTTATGGGGCTTCGTGATGAGTTTGAGGGACCTCGTTCTCAGATCTTGTCGATGTTGACACTTCCTTCTCTTTATGAGGTGTATGGGATGATTGAGCAGCATGAGCGTCGAGTCCGTATTGCATCACTTCCAGTTGCAGCTTTGACTCCTTCGATTGACCAGATGGCCCTTGCAGCTGCTGTAGGGTCCCGTTCAGGATCCTTAGTCAGGGATGGGCAACGCTCAGACCAGCGCCGTCAGGGCGCCCCAGATCAGCGCAGACGGGGGGATTCCCGTCAATGTGATTATTGTGGCCGACCAGGACATCTCATGGCTACTTGCTGGAAGCTCCATCCAGAGCTTAAGCCACCTTCTCGCAGCCGTACTGTTGCTATTGCTGAGGTACCACCGCCCACTACCGCCACTCCTGCTACTGCTCCTCCTTGGCAAAGTGATATGGATGCTATCACTTCCCGATTAGATATACTTATGTCTGCTCTGACTTCTCAGAGTCTGACTACTGCTGCTGTCACCACTACAGGTATATCTCGTGCCTTTCACGATTGTGCCAGTTCATCTCCCCTTTGGATGTTGGACTCTGGTGCGAATGGTCACATGACAGGTGAGGCCCATCACTTCACCACTTTTGATGAGCCGTTACATACACAGGTTCAGTTAGCAGATGGAACACATGCCCCTATTGTTAGTAGGGGTACAGTCCGTCTCCCAGATGGCCTTACATTACATTCGGTTTTTCATGCGCCAAAGTTGGCCATGAATCTATTATCTGTACATCAGTTAGCCAGAGATTTTCACTGTGCGGTTGTATTCTTATCTGATTCGTGTTATTTGCAGGACCTGAGTACCAGGAGGATTATTATCAAGGGACATGAGAAAGATGGACTGTATTATCTTGGCAATCCATCTCCAGTTTCACCAATTCCTTCACCTGCACCTGCTTTGTCTTTTTCTGTTCCTAGCTTGCATGCTAGTATTTTACCTAGTAGTTGTCGTTATGATTTTTCGTCACAAACTGTTCAATTGTGGCATGACCGTTTTGGACATACAAATTTTAAATATTTATGTATGTTGTTTCCTGCTTTGAGTAATGCTTGTGTTGGTGGTAAACTTGATTGCGTTATCTGTTCCCTATCAAAACATGTTAGGGCCAATTATATTCCTCGCATGCACCAGTCACCCAAGCCATTTGACCTAATACACTCTGATATTTGGGGACCCTCTCCCGTTACTGCTCTGTCAGGTGCCAGATATTATGTGACATTTATAGATGATCATACCCGTTGTACTTGGGTTTACCTTTTGCATAAGAAGTCTGATGTGCTCCCTATAATCACTCAGTTTTTACAGATGATTAAGACACAATTCGATGTCATTGTTCGTGCTCTTCGTTCGGATAATGCCAAAGAATATGTGTCTGATGCTTTAGTGTCTCACCTTTCTTCTCAGGGTATTCTTCAGCAACTCACTTGTCCATATACTCCTGAGCAAAATGGTGTTGCTGAGAGGAAAAATAGGAGTTTGATAGGGATGGTACGTTGTCTGCTTAGAGGCATGAGGGTACCAAAATCTTATTGGCATTTTGCTGTTTTGACTTCTACCTTTCTGTGCAATCGTACGCCGAGTCGTGTTCTTCAGCATAAAGCTCCCTTACAGGTCTTATTTCCTGAGCGGACACTTTTTCCGGTCCCCCCTCGTATTTTTGGATGCACATGTTTTGTTCAGGATCGGTCTCCTACTCGTCATAAACTTGATGATAAAGCGATTCGTTGTATCTTTGTGGGCTATTGTCATCAATCTAAGGGGTATCGATGTTATGATCCTATTAGGCGTCGTATGTATCACAGTCTAGATGTTACCTTTCTTGAGCATATTCCTTATTTTCCTTTCAGTCCTTTGTCTGCCCCTCCAGTTGATGATACTCCCTTTGATTTTCCATTACCACAAGAGTCAGGGTCATCTGTTTTTCCTCCAAAGGAGTCACTCATCCCTGTCAGTACAGAGTTACCAGTCTCTCTTCCTTTGCAGGTGTATGATCGTTGTCCTCGCTCTCATCACCCTGCTGATATCCCCTTTACCTCAGGCGATGCAGGTAATACTTCTCAGTTTGTTGAGCATATTGATGTACCTGTTGTTAGTACTGATGAGATTACAGGTGCTGAGCCAGTTACTTTACCTGATAAGATATTATCAGTAGAGGATGGTGCTTTAGGGCGTCGTTATCCACGACGTGATCGTCGTCCAGTTGATCGATATGGTTGGACCGCCAAGATTTTATATCCGATCTCTGCTTATGTTTCTTATGGTGATCTGTCTCCCACATTTCGAGCTTATACTATGGCCTTATCAGATACGCCGGTTCCTCGCTCTATTTCGGAAGCTATGCGGGAGCCCCAGTGGGTTCTTGCCATGCAGACAGAGATGGACGCTCTTCAGCGTAATCATACATGGGATGTTGTCTCCTTACCTTCAGGGGTGAAGCCTGTTGGCTGTCGCTGGGTTTACACCCTGAAGTTTCTTACGGATGGTACTATTGATCGTTACAAGGCTAGACTTGTGGCGAAGGGCTTTACTCAGGTACCAGGTCGTGATTTTGGTGCTACATTTGCCCCCGTGGCAAAATTGACTACTGTTCGGTTGATTATTTCTCTGGCTGCGGAGTACTCTTGGCCTCTTCATCAATTAGATGTGAAGAATGCGTTTCTTCACGGTGATCTGGACGAAATTATTTATATGGATGCACCACCGGGCTTTCGTGGCGAGGGGGAGTATGCTGGAAAGGTATGTCGACTGCGTAAGTCTCTTTATGGACTGAAACAGTCGCCACGAGCCTAGTTCTCTCGCTTCAGTGATGTAGTCATACGATTGGGGTTCACCAGGTGTCATTCTGATCATACCTGCTTTATTCGACAGAATACTTCTGGACAGTGTGTCATCCTTCTGGTATATGTTGATGATATTATTATTACTGGTGATGATATTTCTGGGACTGCGCAGGTCAAGATAGACCTTGGGAAGGCCTTCGATGTGAAGGATCTTGGATTTCTGCGATACTTTCTTGGGATTGAGGTTGCTCGTAGAAGCAGAGGTATTGTTCTTTCTCAGAGAAAGTATGTTTTGGATCTTCTTTCAGACACTGGGATGTTGGGGTGCAAACCGGCATCATCACCCATGATTCCAAACCTGAAGCTTACTGCTGAAGGTGAGGAGTTGAAAGATCCGACAGTTTATCAAAGATTGGTAGGTAGACTTATCTACTTAGCCAATACTAGGCCGGACATTTCATTCGCAGTCAGCCGAGTTAGTCAGTTCATGCATAGGCCATGTCAGCCTCATCTTGATGCAGTTTATCATATTCTTCGGTACCTCAAGTCTTGTCCTGGACTTGGGTTGTTTTATGCATCAGGATCTCAGACCGGTTCTCTAGCCTGTTATTCAGATTCAGATTATGGGGGAGCATGTGATGGTCGATCTACTACGGGTTTCTGTGCTTTTCGAGGGACTCATCTTATCTCTTGGAAGAGCAAGAAGCAGGCAGTTGTCTCCCGCTCGTCCGCAGAGGCAGAGTATCGGGCATTGGCACTTGGAACATGTGAGATTATCTGGCTACGATCAATTCTTGACGACTTGGGTTTTTCAGTGACCTCTCCATCCACATTATATTGTGATAATCAATCTGCTATTCAGCTCGCTTCTGACTCTGTACTACATGAGAGAACGAAGCATATAGAGATCGATGTTCACTTTCTTCGGGAGAAGGTCAGCAGTGGTCTTGTTACTCCATCGTTTGTGGGGACCAGTGATCAAGTTGCAGATGTTTTTACCAAACCTGTCACTCTGTCTATTCTTCGGGACTCCGTTGTCAAGCTTGACTTAATTGACATTTTTGCGCCTAGCTTGAGGGGGAGTGTTGGAGTATAGATAGTCTAGTTTATTAGGATTTCTTTTCCCTTTTTTACCCTTACTATGATTTTTATATTTTGCCTAAACTACAAGG